GGCTCCCCGAAACCTCCCCCGCCCCTAACGGTTCCCCTAACGGCTCCCCGAAACCTCCCCCCTCTCTTAGCGATTCCCCTCACGGCTCCCCGAAACCTCCGCCCCACTCCTAACGGTTCTCCTAACGGTTTCCCTTGCTCCTAACGGCTCCCTGAAACCACTCCCTTTCTAAACGGTTCCCCAAACGGCTTCCCCCTCTCCTAACAGCTCCCTGCAGCGGCTTCCTTCAACGATTCCCAGTCTCCTAACGGCTCCCCGCAACGCTTTTCCCCTCTCCCAACGGTTCCCCTAACGGCTCCCCCTCAACGGGCTGCCCTCTCCCTCATCGGTTCCCCCCACGGCCCCTTCTCCCCCCACACGGCTGCCCTCTCCCCTCCTAATGGCTCCCAACTTCCCCCCCCCCACAACGGTTCCCCCCTGCTTCCACCCCCCTCCCCTTCGACGTTCCCCCCCTTCTGGGGCTCTCCCTCCCCAACGTTCCCTTTTCCTCAACGGTTCCAGTGCTAGAAGGATTCCACCCAAAAACAAGAGATCCTGGTTCTAGGGGACCTGGGAAAAGCAAGTAAAGGGAAATGAATTAATGCCATGCTCCGTGCACCCATTTTTCCAGGGCTTGGTTACCATCCTCCAGCCCCACTCTTCCGTGGACATTTTGTACACTAAACGGGCGCTTTCAAGCACCAAAGCAGGAGCAAAGCGCTGCAACTGGAGTGCTCTTTGCCTCTGATACGAGTCAGACCCACAAAGACATTAAAGGCTTATTTACTCTGTCTCAGCTGTCACGACAGGGTTTCTGTTCTTTATGCCATCTTCCTCAGATATTTTTCTGAAAAAGGACAGGAAAAAAATAGTATTTATGAGCAAAGATTTGGCCCTGTTAAATTAATGAAAAGTTTGATGCCCTTCAGTCTGCACAAACAAGGACCTGCCGCCTGTCCCTCCTTGTCACACTCGCTGCGCCTCCTCACTGAGCAGGAATTTGGCCACCTTTCTTCTTAGTACCTGTTAGTTGCCCTCCCACCTACAACCGTGCACCAAGGTTAGTTAATTTCACTGATTAGAGATGCCCAAAATAGGGTAGTTTAAGCTATGCAGTCTTCACCGTTCCTCCCTGCAAACCGTGGAGGTCTTCTGGAAAGCAGGAGATGTTCCCTGAAGCGCAGCTGCCCCAACGCCTCCTGCCCTCGCTTTCCTCCAAAGGACAGAGCTGTAGTTGCATTTAATTAGCCTCAGTCATATAATTAAGATGACAATGGTCATTTCTTTGGCATTCCTAAGGAGATTTCTCTTTCTTTTGGGCGCAGTGGTTGTCCTCATTACCTGGCGTGGCTATGAAAAGAGCAGGCTAGTTTAAAAGATGCTCGTGCCCTTCTTAAAAGTAATTACATCAAAGAGTTAGCAATGTGCAGGATGTGATAAGACATTATTATATAATGTGATTTATTCCTGTGGATTACCAATTATCTAGCTCTTTTATTTCTTTTTATGTTTCAAGCTTTTACCCTGAATAGCAAATTCCTAAGTCATGACAATCAGGGGCTTAGTTATAAAAGATAATTGTTCTGATGCATTCATTCATTTGTATTTTTCTCCACTATCAAGAGCTCATTTTGGATCAAGATAGGCAAATTTCCATTTTCTAATTAGAGTAGGTATAATCTTCAACCAATAAGAAAGCACCAAAGAGCATTTTTCTTAGCAGTATTGTCACAATATTGTATTGTCAGTGCACGACAATACTGCTTTGTAATAAGCTTGCAGGGCTGAACAATATCAAAATGGAGATTCCTGTGGAGATATGATCCCATGAAAAGCAGTAGGCGGATACATCTGGGGTAAGTGAAAACCTCCACAGAGCCAAAAGAATATGTTTAGCTGGAATAAAAAGTTAGAAAGCCAAAGTTAGAAAGCAAAATAAACCAGGGTATTTGGAGAAGCTGTTATCCAGAAGCTAATGTGAACGAACACCCAAGCGTCACCAAAGCCAAGGACTGTTAACACTTCAGGAGAGTCCAGGCAAAGAATTTTTAAATGTTAGTATAGGATCCAGGTAACCACCATTCACAACTACCCAGGATGATTATCCAATAAACAGCATTTCCCTTGGCTGGACAGGTGTTATTTCTTTAATGATGTGGGCCACTGGCGTTCCTTTCCTGTAGATCCTCTCCTGCAGGGCTTTTTTCTTTATTCCACATCCCTTATGCCATATTCCAACAGTACTAGCCATCATTTCCGGCCTTATGTGTGTGTAATTCTTCTGTAAACCATATCCCTTTTGCAGAGACATTTATTTGCACCACTTAATTGAAGACGTGCTGAACACCTGGACTTGCAGCAATAGCTACGAGAGCAGAGCCAGCAGCTGGATCTCATCGCCACAACTTCTCATCTTCTCAACATAAGAAACATACGTGCCCCTATAACACCACGCTGTTAAGTGACTGGATGTTTGTGAGTAGCTACTTATTATCATGCTTTTGTACTTGATGCTTTTGTTTCTCAAATGTGAAATGTTGTTGGGCATTGTTATTTAATTGAATACAATATCTAGGAGTGTTATTTTATGGAGAAAAGAAGTCCTTGAGGCATTTGCCATCTGATGTAATGAAAGGCAATAAAAGGCAATGCTTAATTGAATGGATGCGAGTTGCTCTTTGCCCCGCAGGCAAAGCGCATTGGCAGGACAGAATGAAAATGCTGCACAGTCATTCAGCAGCGAGACACAAGACCTGGGCTTGAAATGAAGAATTAGCTAAAAAAAAAAATCATGGATCATGATTAGTATTCCTCTGTTTGATATTGCATCTCTCATTACAGCCAGCCCTCCATAAGATGTTCGTAAGATGCAGCATTATGGGGATAATTTCCTCCTGGTTATGTGTGTTGGCATCTTGATGTGTTACTTGCTTTAAATCATGGGAGAAGTTTTAAAATAGGTAATAGGAAATACTTCAGAATAGCTAAGAACGTAATGCAGTTCGAAGATTTAAGCTTGATTTTTGTAAGACTTCATTTCTAAATTTCTGTAACTTAAAATGCCTTAAATCCAGATGGGGAAAAGTTTCAAGTCTTTTTTTTTTTTTTTTTTTTTTTTAATACACACACAGAATATTGATCTGTATTTTATATAGGAATGTGGAAAAGCAAAACATTAATTTTCATGCAATTTAAAGTGGAATAGGACACAGAGTCCTTGGCAGTGCAGGTTCATTGTTTAAAAACACTAACTGAAACCAACAGGCTTCCACAGAGTTTGGATTTTGTGATGGAGTCGTGCCAAAAGATGTTGGATCAGGAAGTGTTTGAAGCCTGCTTACCCTTCGCTCCTAAAAAAAAAAAAAAAAAAAAAACCCACAAACCCTCCGCACCTTGAGTTCCATTGCAAGGGAGAGCAAGGTGCTCGTTATCTTAAAACCCAAACAGACAAAGCTGCATGCAATAGGGTGAGGAAAGAGTTAAGCAGCCTCACAGGCGGCTGATGCCATCTCCTGGTGTCACTGCCCAAACTGCGGACTTGAAGAGCAGGGGGACTGGTCTGCTCAGATCCCCACCAGGATGCCGGGGCGATGCCAGCTGAAGCACCGCTTTGTCCCCAGGCAGTGTGCACATCCGAGCGCCCACGGAGCACCCGCAGCCGCGTGGGAAGGGAGCGGAGCCCACGGGGACACGCTGGAGTCACCAGGGTCACCCCTACCTGAGCCACTGGGGGTGCAGACAGCACTGTGAATCGCGCCTCGTCTTGCTGAGCTGATCACCTTGCACTTATCCTCCCTCTCTGCGTTTGCACTAGACTGAAGCTAGGCTGGACGAGGCTCCCGTTGAGCCACCACCGTAGCCAGAGGAGCAAGGCTGTGTGTGACACACAAGGCAGCCGCGGACCCAGGCAGGGCTGTCCCACCCCGGACAGGTCTCCCGGCTGCCCCACTCCTTCCCGAGGGGCCTGCGGGCCCTCCCCTCCTCCTGCCCGGGCTCCTGCTTGCTCCCCAGGGATGCTCCGCTGCACGTGGTTATCCTGCCCACAGGGACCAGCGCTCTGGACAGTCTGCGGCAGAAACGGGCAAGGGAGGCTGGATGGATCCCAGCTGTTCATCCTCTCCTGCCAAAAAAGGGGCAAACCGAGGGCTGGACGCAGCCTGTGCTCAGGAAGCAGTTGTCACCCCGCTTCGAGATCTTACTCCACCTCCAGGTGCGTTCCCTTTGTCCTTCCATTGGGATGCTTTTTTAAACCCTAGTTACAATGTGACGACAGTTGATTTCATAGCACAGTGCAACCAGGTTGGGTGCTCCTTGCTACCCAAGTTAAAAAGCCCCAGATCACACAAACAAAACCCCTGCATTCCAAGGTGCTCTAGGGAACCACAAAACAAGCAAAAATGATTGAAGGCCCTTAATCTGAAGCTCCCTTCTCCCCCTGTGCAAGAGAACAATCTATTCCATGTGAGGAAAGA